CATAATCAAAAATCTAAACACATGTTTAGATTCAGCATATCAAAGAACCCCAAGAATTCAATTTTTGCTAAAATCAAACTAAGTTTAATTTTGGACCCTTTGGACCTTAATGTAGACCAATTTAAAAAACGGGACTTAAAAATCTAAATACACGGTTAGATTTGGAATATCAAAGAACCCCAATAATTCAATTTTTGATGAAATCAAACAAAGTTTAATTTTGGACCCTTTTGACCTCAATATGAACCAATTTGATAGCAGGGCCCACAAATAAAAAATCTAAATTCATGGTTAGATTCAGCATATCAAAGAACACCATATATTCAATTTTTGTTGAAATCAAAAAAAGTTTAATTTTGGACCCCAACTTGGACCAACTTGAAAACTGGGCCCATAATCAAAAATCTAAACACATGTTTAGATTCAGCATATCAAAGAACCCCAAGAATTCAATTTTTGTTAAAATCAAACTAAGTTTAATTTTGGACCCTTTTGACCTCAATGAAGACCAATTTAAAAAACGGGACCCAAATTAAAAATCTAAAAACACGGTTAGATTTGGCATATCAAAGAACCCCAATAATTCAATTTTCGATGAAATCAAACAAAGTTTAATTTTGGACCCTTTTGACCTCAATATGAACCAATTTGATAGCGGGGCCTACAAATAAAAAATCTAAATACATGGTTAGATTCAGCATATCAAAGAACCTCATATATTCAATTTTTGTTGAAATCAAACAAAGTTTAATGTTGGACCCCAATTTGGACCAACTTGAAAACTGGGCCCATAATCAAAAATCTAAATACATGTTTAGATTCAGCATATCAAAGAACCCCATATATTCAATTTTTGTTGAAATCAAACAAAGTTTAAATACTGGACCCTATCTTGGACCAACTTGAAAACTGGGCCCATAATCAAAAATCTAAACACATGTTTAGATTCAGCAAATCAAAGAACCCCAAGAATTCAATTTTTGTCAAAATCAAACTAAGTTTAATTTTGGACCCTTTGGACTTCAATGTAGACCAATTTAAAAAACAGGACCCAAAATTAAAAACCTAAATACACGGTTAGATTTGGAATATCAAAGAACCCCAATAATTCAATTTTAGATGAAATCAAACAAAGTTTAATTTTGGACCCTTTTGACCTCAATATGAACCAATTAGATAACGGGGTCCACAAATAAAAAATCTAAATACATGGTTAGATTCAGCATATCAAAGAACCCCATATATTCAATTTTTAATGAAATCAAACAAAGTTTAATTTTGGACCCCAATTTGGACCAACTTGAAAACTGGGCCAAAAATCAAAAATCTAAATACATGTTTAGATTCAGCATATCAAAGAACCTCATATATTCAATTTTTGCTAAAATCAAACAAAGTTTAATTTTGGACCCTTTGGACATTAATGTAGACCAATTTGAAAACTGGACCCAAAATTAAAAATCTAAATACACTGTTAGATTCGGCATAACAAATAAATAAATGTGATCAAAGATTTTACAAATCTAATGCGCCATACTGTGCAATTAAAGATTACTTCTTGAAATTTTTCAATATTTGAAATTTGAAAAAAAAATAATATTTGAAGAATAATTCTTTTTAATTTCTGAAATCTGAAATGAGAAAAAATTGGCCCCCCAGAATTTCTTTTTATCCCCCCCCCCTTTTTCCCCCAAAAAAATTCTTTCCCTCAAGATATGGTCATAATCTCAATTCAAATTTCCAATGGAGTTGGCAACCATAATTACCCATTTAAATTTACCATAGTGCTAACTTAATCTATTTTATAATAGAATTAATAAAAATATAGTGTCAAATCTTTCATATGGATTTTTTTGTAAAAAAAAAAGATGAAAACATTTGCAGATATTTTTACTGGTCTTCCTTTATAAATATGCATTTCTTTAAACATAATTTAAAAGCAGTGTAAGGGAAGTAACCAAAACGTTGTATTTGGATTACCTCCCTTACACTGTTTTAGATTATCTTTATTGTTCATTAACCATTACTTTATACATAATTTAAAAGCAGTGTAAGGGAGATAATTTCAATGATGTATTTAATTTATCTCCCTTACACTGCTTTAAATTATGTTTTGTACTAAAGTATTTGTCCATTAACCAGGACAACCTTGTTTTTCCCCCTTTTTTGCCCCTAATTCCTAAACAGTTTGAGCCATAACCCCCCAAAGCAAATCCTAACCATCCCTTTGTGGTATGGAAACTTGTAGTATAATTTCAGAGAGATCCATACACCGTTCCACAGTTATTGTCTGGAAACTAGAAAATGCTCATTTTTGGCCCCTTTTTGGCCCCTAATTCCTGAACTGTTGGTACCATAACCCCCAAAATCAATCCCAACCTTCCTTTTGTGGTATTTAACCTTATGGTCAAATTTCAAAAAGATCCATTCACTTAAACTAAAGTTAGAGTGCGAAAACCAATATGTATTCGGAAGACGACGACGACGACGACGCCGACGCCAACGTCATACCAATATACGGCCACAAAATTTTTTTGCGGTCGTATAAAAATAAAAGACCTTTTGAAACAAGAAAACATAACCTGTCCCAAGTCAGGAGTCATACAGTAATTCAGTGGTTGTCGTTTGTTGCTGTATATTGCATTTGTTTTTCATTTGTAATTTTTTATAAAAATCAAGCCGTTGATTTTCTGATTTGAATAATTCTACATTTTGTTATGTTAGGGCCTTTAATAGCTTGCTATGGGGTATAGGTTTTGCTCATTGTTGAAGGCCTTACAGCGATATATAGATACTAACATCTATGGAATTTGGTGAACAGTTGTCTCATTGGCAATCATACCACATCTCCTTACTATGTATAAAAATGTTTATACAAAAGTTTGTGTTGTGTATAATTCTGGCACAAAATCAGGAAACCATTCAAAATCAACTACTTGGATATATTTTTTACCAAATAAAATTGGTTTCATTAAAAAAAATTTCCTGTCGAGAAATCATCTACCAAATTCAGGATTGTACAGTCTGCGGTTTTATTCTCCAAAATTAAACCTTGCAGACAGGGGTGCAGAATATAGAGTATGATAAGCAAGAAATAAGGGAAAAATTCTGATTTCGTGAGGTTTGTTTACATTCCACCATGTTTGTTATTGAAATTGTAGAGGGCACTCTTATCATTTTGAAAACTAATAAATTACCTAATCCATATTAATATGCAATTTTTATTCAATATCAAATATAAACTGATAAATTACAAAATTAAATGCTTCACTACAAATTTCTCTTTTCTTTTCATTGCATTGCATAAAATAAACTGGAATCCGCTTGAATTTAATGGATCCAATAAAGTGTATAAGTCAGCTGGGAACCAGATTATGCATTATGATGTATATACCATACAAAACGTAATCGGTTATTCTTTCTGTTTTGGTGTTTCATACTGATGCTAGTGTTTTGTTTTAGCTTAAGATCCTTCAAACATTTATGTGATGGATATGTTAAACATTATTTTACATAAGGATGGAACTGTTTTACTTTCAAAGTCGTATTCTAGTGATATCTATTAAGTACGGATTTTCTGTACACTCTAACCGTATTTATTTTCTTGAACACGTGCTATTCAAACTTCCACTTAAAACAAACAGAAGTTTTATTTATTTTCTTGAACACGTGCTATTCAAACTTCCACTTAAAACAAACAGAAGTTTCTCAATTGTTTTTTTTTGTGATTTTGACTTATTTTAACACTCATGAAGTGTTCTAGGATCATTTACAAGCATTTTCAACTTCTATTTGGTGATAGAAAACAGGTTTTTCCATGAAAATACCACAAATGATCACAGATGATTTGAAATAAGTTTCATTAGACGTTTTTGAAACAGTTACAAAAAGTTTTTTTCACCAGAATTCTCGTGGCGAGAAGGGGGTGTGGACATTATGTACCAGTGCGAACTATACATACGTTAGGTTTGCACATATGTCAGTTTTTTCACAAGCACCCTCATTGTGAATAAAAAACTGTTAATGGCATTGATTGCACAATATTTTTTACTTGACAAAAATTCATAAAGGTTCATGATCTCTATACACTAAATCTGTTAGAGGCATGGCTTCCAAAACGATTATATATTCCGGACATTTATAAATTTATCGGACATTGTCCGACTGGGAAAAGCATGAAACGGACATCTACTTTCAGTTTTCAGGGTTTTCTTAAGAGACGGTCATTCTAACATAATTAAAAAAAAAAATGGAAGTTTTTGCGATCTTTTTGACCCGACCTTTTGCCTTAAACAGCCACACATTTCCGGTCATAAAAGTGACATGATGAATGAGTACTATCAAAACAAACCCTACTTTAATACCTTCTCAATTTAATCAAGTTTAATTAGTTGTCGGACAGCTGAAATTTACCTGTTCAGGCGACATGTAAACTATTTTGTACCGGACATTGATCGGTCTATTCAAAGTTATTTTCTTACATTTCAGCCGTTTGCATCTAATTATTAACCAGTGTACTATTTTGTATCTTAGTCTTCGAATCTGAGAGGGTGTTATTAAATCCATCATACTGAATGATCTTGCATTATGATATTTTAAATTGTAAATTGAAAGTAATTATCTATGACGTTATGTACATAACTACATTACAGTTATTAGAAAAACAATAGAATTAAAGCAAGATGTATTTTTTTATATTGTCTATGAAAAAGGTCTTAGGCTGAAAAGCTTTCAACGGTACCAATTTTTCTACACCAGATGAGAGTTTCAACAATAAATGTCTCTTCAGTTATGCTTGAGGCCAAAATATTTGAAAATCCAAAACTTATAAAAGATGGAGTTAATTAAGAAATTAAAAAAAAAAAGCCATCAAGGTATCAGAGCTTTGCATGAGGGAGATATAAAATTTGATCTTGGTCTGCACCAGAAGGCCCACTGAGCCATTTTGGCAATCCAAATTTGGCATTTCAATGTTAAGTATAATAATATATAATACTTACTTTAACTGGTACTAGATACTTTATACAACTCATTCTTCTTCTAACTGAAAATAGAAAAAAGTTATTGTCTTAAATCAGGGGTGTGGTACAAGTATTTCAATTTTTGCACCACTTTCTATTGTAAAAAATTAAATCCTGTCCTTTATATACAAATTACTGCTATGTTGCATTTAGCAGTGCAATATCGGGAGTAAAACAAAGGTTAATCCACAGAAAGGGAGATAAGACCTGATATATAACCTGAACTTAGGGGACAGATTATGCCTCTTTCTGCCCTGATATTATAATGTTCTTAACATGGCTTTGTATTGACATTCACTCCTTGGTCTTTCTAAATTCCCAAAATGAATGCTTGCCAGTCACTTTTTCTGCTTTTGCAATAAGCCAAATGGTGCCCAGAAATAATTTTACCCCATATATCCTAATATTGTGGTATAAATTTTAGTTTGATGTCTAGGGAGCTTGTATCCTATCAATAAGGGGGGCATCGGTGGCCGAGTGGTCTAAGTAGTTACTACTGTAATCACTAGCCAGTCAACACTGAGGTTGTGATTTCGAACCCCGCTCCTGCGGGTGCACTTGACTCCAATCTTAATTGACTAGGATTGTCAATTTTCCTATCGGTCGGTGGTTTTCTCCAGGCACTCCGGCTTCCTCCACCAATAAAAACTGGCCGCCACAAAATAGCCCAAAAGCGGTGCTTAAAAGTGGCGTTAAAAACACAAAAAATCAAAATCAAATCCTATCAATAAGATGTCTAGGGAGCTTGTATCCTATCAATAAGATGTCTAGAGAGCTTGTATCCTATCAATAAGATGTCTAGGGAGCTAGTATCCTATCAATAAGATGTCTAGGGAGCTCTATCCTATCAATAAGATTTCTAGGGAGCTTGTATCCTATCAATAAGATGTCTAGAGAGCTTGTATCCTATCAATAAGATGTCTAGGGAGCGTGTATCCTATCAATAAGATAACATGGGGATTTATTTTTAATTTTGAAATATCCCAATGAACATTGCAAAAACTTCAGGACTATTAGGTAGTGTAGAGTCCTCATTTCTTCTGACAGAACCTTTTTGAGAGTATTCTATAATTCATAACTCTGAGAAGCCATATTTGGGTTACACAGACCAACTTAACTGAATATGTATAAAGGACATGTTGGGTATACTTAAATGAGAAAGTAACCCACACTCATATAACCTAAAGAGAGGGCAACATATAGTCTTCAACAATAGACAGGTATCTGTACAATGTGTCAAGCTCCTAATTGTCTTACAGCTAATATGAAAGTTGTAGATAAATAAAACAGAAACTTATATCAAAGATCTGCCATCTATATGTACCGGTACATGAAATTTTACAAATAAAAAAAAAAAAACTCACACACACACACTCACACAAAAAACAATAATCTTAGATATGACATAAAACAATCACTGACAAGGTGAAACCTAGTTCAATAAATTGATCAGAATTTGTTCACCAATCACAAATCAAAATTACAAAATCCTACTGGCATGGATTAGATATTAAATTCTCGATTCTTATCTTATCTTTTATTCCATCCATTATTAAATACCAATATGTTCTTGGGCCACTTTAATTTCCAATATATGATTGAACACACATGAATCAACTGATACAAGCTTAACTTTAAGATACATAACTCGGAGCTTTCTGTAATTTATCACGAAGATCAACCCATCATCTATAAATCCATCAAATAATCAAAACAACTCGCCTTATTTAGTCGAGGCTATCAAATCCTACAAAATGAATACATCCCCACTGCTAATATCTAACACAGATGATTTATTCTCATAATCTCTAAGCTGATCTATATAATTCCGATCATAGCCTCTTGTTGACAACCTATTTCTCTCTGATTTAATAATTTTGTCCATAGGAGAAGATTTTAAGACTGCCTTGGGATATTAAATAACCATATTTTGGTTGTTAATTCTGATGAATATTGACTGGTACTTCACACATGTAGTTATTATGACGGATGTCAAATTGATAAAAAGTTACAGGTCCTAAATTACCACTGAGGCTAAGCAAAGGTCTGGCATTTGATTTCATTTTTACAATAAGGCCCTGATCTTGTATCTGCATGCACATTTTTTTTGTATTCTCTGTTGGATCTTTAATTTCACAGCTATTTTATGTCTGTTTTAAGAATATTAATAAGTTTATGGCCTTTCAACAATGGTTTGGTTGAAGGAGGAAGTTTTTTTTTACTTTTTCAAAACTTATGAAATTCAATGTTTCCACAGAAATAGCAGTGTTTTAGCAGCAAATAATCATAGGAAGCTATGGAAATTTTCACCTATAATAATTTCCTTTTGGAAATTTCTTGTATTTAGTAAGAGTGATGTAAAACATGAGTTTTTCAATAGATATCTAATTAGTATCCTTTACATCTTTAAGTAGTTTTGGAAGGGCTAAACTTACATAATGTTATTGTTAAAAGCTAAGTTTTTTTACTCTGTAAAACAATATCTTGAGATTTTCACATATCTCCTTCATTGGAAACAGAAAAACTCAATTTTACTCCCTTTTAGTAACTTTTTTGATTGTCGATACACTTTTTTTTTGTGAAAAAAGGGGTGGGTCGGGGTTGAACAATAATATTTATAAGGCATTTTATGACCCATCTTAAGGGACTCCACCCTCCCTCTTCTGTTTGTTATACAAATCTGTAGTAATTAAAGGCCTTACATTGTAATGTTTTATGAAGTAGATGGTTGGAAGGGCCCTTTTACAGCACATCCATATTCAAGCCCCACAAGTGTCAATGAAAATTAAAGCACTTAAGGTGGTACCTAACACTACAGGGAGATAACTCTGTAAAAATCAGCTAAACATTTTAATTACGTTGTATTGTTAAGGAAATATTAAGCTTCTCAATGATCAAAATTAGTGTTTGTCAAACTGCTATATAACCAGTGAAATTTTTCTGATAAAGTGGTTGGTTCAAATTCTTTGAAATTTTTATATTTTTGTCAAAGGGTCAAAGTAAACATTTTGTCAAATTTTTAGGAAAATTAAACGAGCCAAATTAGTATTAGTCAAGGTGTTGGGTACCACCTTAATAAATATTGTGTGTATGAATATAAAAATAAGAAGATGTGATATGATTGCCAATGAGACAACTCTCCAGAGACCAAATGACATGCAAGTTCTTTTTTGGATTAAACTTCATTAGAAAAGCTCAAACCCTAAAATTTGAAAATTAGTTTAATACCTAAACACTTCAAAAATTGTTTTACTAATTTTACCTATTAAATAATTACATTATTCAATTCATAGTTGAAAGTACACAGAAATAAAAAAAAAATCTAGAATTTGTTGTGCCAATTTAATTAACAGATTTAGATTACAAATTTCCATTGCATAGGTTTTCATTCATAAGGTCCATCAACAATTCTTCAAGAAAACTTAAATGTGCCTGTAACTTTCTATCATTGGGAAGCAAGGATTACTTTACAAACCAAATAAATCAAACTCTTCATTTTTAACTGAGTTGATATTTTATATCTTAAAGGCAAGGAGAGAAGTATTCACAGATTTTATACAATTAAATCAATTTGACATTCAACAGATCAAATACTTTAAAAAAAGTCAATAATCTTTCACATTTTGATTTAAATAAATCCCAATCCATACCTGATGACACATTCCTATCAACAGTATTATAGATTTTTGGGACCAAGATTTTCATAGCGGGTATTTTCATATCTTATTACGATGATTTTATCAGCTTTGGTTTTATTAAAATCTTTAACAGAACGGACTCTTTGACGATTCTCCTATTGATTTGCAGGTAACATCTTGTGTTGACTAACACTATACATCCTTGAATATTGTTCTTTAACACAGAAGAATCGATACGATAATGTTTTAAGTACAGCCATACAACCACGTAATGAAGCTAGGAATTCTAGCTTGTCACTTTTGCCTCGTAACAAATGAATCAGGTCTTGGGATGCCAGTTGATAAATAACTATGGTAAAAAGGCACTTTCAATCAAACATTCCTGATAATGGTCTATCTACCAAACTGACAGCAATCGACAATTTAATATGTAGAGATCTATTTGTTAGAAATCTCCTTACAAGAGTTGCACAATAGTTCAATTGGGCAAACATTAATATAAAGATATTCATAGCTCACTTTGTATCATCTATAAATATGGCTCAAATTATCACAAAATAAAATAGATGAAGTGTCTGGACGACAAGAATGTCCCTTCTTAAAACTATGCTAAAAATGTTGGCAACAAAGAACCAAATGAAATGTTGTAAAAACCAACATTGTATTTTAGAATTGAAATATCTTTAAATATTGCATTAAATCTCATAGTTAGTTAAGCTTGAAGCTCAGCTGAGTTACCTAAATGTTAATGAATATGCTATATATTAGCATAGGTCTATGAGAAATGGAAAAATAACCAGTCACTTCAGCATGAAATGAATGACACGTTGATAAGTCTTGCTAACAACATTGAACTATGTGTACCCTTCGTTGCCACATGATAAATTCCACCATACCCAGATTGCAGAGGGATAAACTAACAAGATGAACGAAAAAGCATTTAGATTTTACATTATTTACAATACAGGGACAAGTGTTCATATCTATAAATGTGATTCTATCATCTCTATCATTTCTCAATCAATGTAGCAAATCATTCAAGTCCACCGTAAATGGATTCCTCTCTTTTAGCTAGTCACTTGTCTGATATGCTCCGTTCCGCAGAATTTTAATCGAAACCATCACTAATGCTGCTTTTAATCAAGTGTTCTGATCTTGGTCTAGCTACAACTCCCTGACAGTGATCGACAAGTCAATACTGAAACAATCTATTTGTCACGATCTCCCATCAGGAATTACACAATAGGCCAAGATGACATGAGGTAGATCGTCATTTAAAGGAAAGAAATATGCATTTTATCAATAAGTTCCGTCAATGGAAAGATCTGAACCTGCCAAACTTACATATGAAGTGATCTTACAGCATTTGATTTTTAAGGCAGGCG